AAACGGCCGGGGGTGGGTGTTCCCCGGGGGTCTGAGAGGGGCGCTGCAGCCCGGCGCCGGCAGCAGGGCGGCAGGAACACCCCTCGTGTCGCTCGGTCTGAAATCTATCCCGGAGCCTTTCTCCATCCCAGGCGGAGATGCCGTCATCGTCTTGCACTGCAGCTGGGCAGAGAGCTTCGCAAGGCGTTGGCGTCACTGGTCTGGCAAAGGAGAGCCCTGCATGGAGCTCCTTGCAGAGCTGTGAGCCTCCGTTGCTAAAGTTTTTTAGGAAGGAGTTGCGTTTTTCCAGGAAAATTTACGATTATATGTTGTGTAAACTTACGCTGTGCATAAACTCGGCCTGAATTGCTCAGCTAAGCACGTGCTGGTGCTCACCTTCCTCTCGTGTTCTAGTTGTGTCTGAAACATAAAGTAAAAACATACATACCTAGGTAATGTTAAGAATAGAAACATACTGTTTTAGTGTTCGCCTATAAACCATAATTTAAGTTGTACTCTTTTACCTTTATTAATCTGTAGATAATGAATGTGGATTAGAGGGGATATGTCCTTACTGCTTCCAGTTCCTGGTTCCTGATAGCTACCGGGTGCGTCTCAAACCAAAGATGAAAGTGACTCCACAGATAGAGAAAGTTCTTAAACGAGAGGCGAAGAACCAGAAACTTAATATGAAACAGACAAAGCTCTTGAAAAAGTACAGGGAGTCAAGAAGTGTCCTGGTAAGGATATTTATTTGGAACTGCCAATACCTGATATTTCCCTGAAACCTTTCAGCAGCACGAAAAAGAAGATAAGGAAACCTTTCTCTTAGAGATGAGCTCATACCTACACATTTCTTTTTTCATGAGCATGTAACTCTTCCTTTCTTTTGGGATAACTTCTATTCACAATCAAAAATTTTAGCACCTACTCTGCACAATAGAGAGATCATGAGCACAATGACAAGAACAGTAAGCTCTGCCCCACCCCCCAAAAAAACCCAAACCAACCCCACGTATCACGGAAGCTCCGCCGACAGCTCTGCCCTCCCTGTGATCTCTTTGGCAGCAGCCTGGGTAGACTCTGCAGCTGTCGAAGATCTTGCTGAAAATTAACTGATTTCTTCCTGCCAGGACGCTCTGGCGTCCCCCCTGCCGGCTCCTGTACCATGGGCACAGCTTTGCAAAAAGCGGCAGGAGTGGCAGGTTTTTGCCTGTGTTCCCTTTTTTTCCTACAAATGTGGCAGAACTAGGACCAGGCAACTCTACTGGATGCAGAGCTTAGTATAGCCATGATCCTAAAATCCATTAGAATCCTCAGAAATCCATTGCTAAGGATACCCCAAAACATGCCTAAGAAGAAAAACATGCCATTGGCTGAATTTGGGCTGGTTTTGCCAGTACGCATAGCTTGACATTTACTGCCTTTGTTTCAGCTCTGAAGAAGGGCTTAAGTGACTGATGGATTGTCAGGTTTTTTCAGTTTTATCAGTTGTGTAAAAATGTATTTGCCCAACTTAACAAGCTTTACTTCGTTCATTTCAGAAGACTCTCATGGCTGTGTCAGATTATTGTTACTTTCTGTACAAATTGAATTTTTTACATTTGTCTGAATATCACTGTTTATACGAAGTCTTTCAAAGCTAAACCACATAGGTAATTTAAATAAGTTAATGTTGCTCTTGGGGTTTCAGTTCTTTTTCCTAAAATTACTCAGGAATGTAAGATTTAATAACTATTTTTTGTACCAATTACTATTATTCGAAGAATAATAGTATACATTTAAACTAGCGTTGCCGAGGCATGCAGTACTATTAGAGCAGGATAACCTGAGTGGATGTTTTAATAAACGAGACGGCACCCTACTGTGCCCAGCAGTTGCTGGCGCACTTGGCATTTTCTCAGGATGAGAGTCTGCTGGTTTAGGGAGTAAAGTTTGCAAAACCAGTAATTATTAGAGAGCCAATAACGCAAAATTAAACAGGAAATATCACAGAGGTTCTCAGCTGTCAGAGCAAAATGAGGGGCTCCAGAAAGGCACCTTTGCTATTACTCTCTCCAAATTACAGATCACAGTTGAGTAGCAGAAGGGGCATCTGAGAAGCTGGAATCTTTGCTTTATCTTTGTGGGATCACAAACATTTAGTGCCTGTTAATGAGTGTCTAGACAGTTGATGAACAGTGTCCTATGGAATTATGATAGGTTCTTAGATTTATTCAGTAGCTGGAGGGGTTTGTAGGATGCACTGTGCATTCATATGAGTAGTTTAAAATTCAGTATTAAATAGGTCCAGTTTAAACTCTGGGTAATACTCTAATCTTGGGATGTAATTACAATTTGCTGCACTTGTGTTCTGCTCTGTTCTGTTTGCATTTGTGCTGTGGATTATGATTTAAGTATTTCTGGTCTTAAGTACTTAAAATGCTGTCAGCAACTGACAGCTTTCAAAATGAGCAGTGTGGATCCCTATAATCTAATACCTGAGACTTGCGAAAATGAAAATTTGAGTGCGGTTGAAAATGCAACCAAGCATCAATGTGACAGGTTGTGCCTCTGACATACCTTTCTTAGCAAGCAGAAGTTGATTTGAGGATGCTTCTGCCATGAAAAGGCATATAACGCAGGAACTGTTTCAGGGCTTTTACACCTTTTGGGGTTAACTGCATATGCAGTGCAGGGAATGGAAACTAGCTGTGCAGTGCTATGATTAATCCACTAATTCCGGCATTGTAAGGGGTTCACCTCCATTTATGTTCCATGGTGTGCTAAATCGTTACGTGATGCTTTTTTTTTTCACCATCTGAATTTCATTTAGAAGAACTAAAAATGCATCAATACCTGAGCTGTGTAAGTTAATGATCTTCCTCTTTTCTGGTTTGCTAGGCTGACAAAATAATGTCTAGAGGCAGTCAAAACACGTAACTGAAAACGTTTCATTTCAGCATTTCTAAATGTAATTCTTTCTAAGCAGTCTGGATTTAGGTGAATTTACACACCTTGAGATGAAGAATGATTTGGTGTAGATGTTTTCCAAACTGCTTAGACATTTTCGTGACGTTGTTTTGAGTATGTTTCTTTAACCAGAAACATCACATAACTGTGGTTTTCAGTCAGATTAATTCAGCCTCAAAAAGTTGTCTGGCTGTATTGCTCCCATGTCTCTTAATAAGAGCAGTTCCCATGGCAGTAAGGGATATTAGGAATATCTGACAGTCTCTGGGATGTCTGACATGTCCTGTTCTCATGCACCTCTGCAACATACCGTGCTGCTGGAAGTTCCCTGCAGTAGACAGATAGGAGAGAAAGTGCCCTTTGTTTAGGACCTCCTCCGTATTGTAGTAAGTATTTTTGCACTCATAGAAAGCCTCTTCTTTGTTCACTAAGACTTGCTGTTACTAGTTATGGATGACTATTTTGGAGAGTTTGGTATTTCAAATATTCCATCTCAAGACTCCCTGGAAAGTGTGTAATACTCATTGGGGGTAGAATATGCTATTGAATTTAGATCACCCGTGTTTCTAAGCAAAATATGAATACCCCTAATGTATACTCAAGATATATATCCAGTTCAGGTGCCGTTTCATCTTCCTGTTTTGACAGTGTGGTTTGCCATATTTCACTGTACAATGTTTTATTCAGAGTTACGGGTCTCCTAAAATTAGTTGCTAGGGGAGTGGAGTAATTTCTAGATAAACCTGTAGGCTGTGTTTGGCTTAAGAAGCCTGAATGAAAATACTAGGTGTAAAGTATATGTTGCTTTTTAATAGCTCATGTTTCACTTCAGGAAATACTTAATTTGTGTCATGGTATTTGGAGAATAGTTCGGATAGTTCTTACAATGGCTTTATAACATAAAGGTGGAAAGACTGAAAGCATAGTTGGTATTTCCTTTCTTCTCTCCATAGCTGGTTACTTGCAACTCATGCAACAAAACAACAAGACATTATGGTAAAAGCAGGGATTTTCTGGCTACTAAGACACAAAATTCTGGCACTCCGAGTATGAAATCTAGCCTGAGGACACCAGATGTAAGAATTCAGTCTGCAAACAAAGTGACACCTGTAAGCTGCAGTAGGTTGGGATCTAAAGGGAACAGTCCCTCATCGCTTCCCAGGTACCTGTTTCTCTCCTATTGAAAGGGGCACTTTGCCAAGTAGAGCGTATTACATCGTGTTGGGAAAGGGCGTCAGGTACTGATTGAGGAGATCAATTTTAATTTTCAAGCCTTTAAAATCAAAGATTCTAATGAAAAGCAAAAGAATGCCCAGTTATGTTTTGTCATTAATGTGAAATGTCTGGCTTAAAATTTAAATAACAAAGTTAACACTTCTGACTGCTCACTTTCACATGAAAGTACACTATTTACGTTCAATTTTTTTCACTCAAATTATGTATATGCACTTTCATTGTTACTTCATGTTCATTCTGATTCCTCACCTTTAAGACATTTGAGTCTTTTGTTTTTCAGAACACATGTATCCGGACAGGCAACAACAAGCTCTGCTTCCAAGACTCCCCGAAACTCCAAATTTCACTTTTCTAAGCTAAAACGGATGCTTGACCTAGAAGAAAAAGAGAAAAGCCGGAAGGCAGATTTGGAAACCTTCTTGAGTTTCCTTTAGTTATACATTATTTCAAAGTAATAAAGATTAACAGCAGTAAGTATTGTTCCAGTTTTGGTAAATCAACAAAGTGTTTCCTTTAAAACTCAAGCTGACAGCCTGTACCCTGTGAAAGCACAGACCATAGATTTTTTAGAAGCAGGCTTTGTTTGTAAGGGGACTGATTGCCTGGAAGAGGAAGATGAGAAAATAGCCAGTCTGACATGCTTGGGAATCTTGAACGTGTTCTGCAGTCTCTAATGGCCCAAGAATTAAAAGCCAGGATCTGTCCTTTGAGGAAGATGACAATACTGGATCCATCAGTGGGTCCAGCAGGAGCAGCAGATGGGTGGGGAGGTTGCAGTTTGCTCTGCCTCCCTCCTACTGTTTTTTAAGATAGTGCATCATAACAGAATTTAAAAGATCTCATCCCTGCTTTGCATGTTTGGATAAAACAAAGATGCTTTCATCAGCACTTTCTGCAGGTACGGTATTTTCCAGGGTCTAATGTTGTCCCGTAGCGTCACTGTCTTTTGATACCTTTTGTAATTGAAGCAGAGCCTTTACAAAGGTTCCAAAATAACTTAATCTTTAAGACAGCGCTCGTATGCAAAGGGAGGTAAAACAGTGTATCACCAGATTACGTTTCTTCATTTTCTTACGAATGTTCTCTGTGATTTGGACTGCAGGCGATGCTGGTCCCAGGTAACACAGCACCTGGTAGAACCGCGCTGTGATGTGGGATGCTCTCAATACTGACTCGCAGCTCCACGCTACACTGCCGTCAGCGCCCGGATTGTTCCTGCTACGAGAGTGGCACAGCCATAAAGAACAGGGGATGCTGCCTTTCCACTTGCGCTGCTGCTACCAAAATGGGTCACATCTGTCTCGTTCAGAAATGACTAAGGAGAGAGAGAACCTTTTCTTAAATGTCTTTTGGTTCTATCAGGCTTCAGAGTTGCTTCCTTCCCGAACTTGAATCTGGAAAACAAGGTTTGCCCTGGAGAGTAGTAAACTCACTGCACCAAAGTGTTTTGATGTGAATAGATGACTGTCAGGGTTAAACTGTCTCCACGTTTTCAGCTCAGCACAGAGGTGAGAAAACAGTAGAAAGTCACTGTTCAGGACTGAGTTCATAGCCTGCCCTGCAGGTAGTGTGCAGTGACAGTTCTGCAAATTCTGCTTCAGTTTTCCCCTCTGAAAAGAGAATCAAGCAGTTAAAAACATTTAAATTTTGGGGTTTAAAGGTCTGTATTTTCCTCGGGTTTGTATTCTAAGGAATAGTTTCTTTTAAGTGTATTCAGACTCAGTGAACAACGCTTAAGAAATAGAACCAGCAAATAAGTCGGCAGACTTGAAAGCAGTCCAGGGCAGGGGAGAGTAGTTTGTTGCAGGTTCTACTTACAGTCTCGGAGATCGGCACGTAACCTTTTTATATCTGCCGTACCCTGGCACAATAGCTTTGAAAGGCTCGCTGCCGTTTGTTTCTTACGTACGTGTGGGACCAAATTAACTGTCATTCTGTGACCAAAATATGGACCTTGGAGTTACGCCTGTTCCGATGTAGAATTTGGCATTAATTCACCTGTTGCTGTATTTATGATCCAGTCCTCTGGAAAAATATTTCAATCTTGTTGATGGAAGATGTGCATTTTACAAAAGTATTTGAAAAACAAGTTTTGCAATAAATCTTTCTATAGAAAATACCCGCATTAGATACTCACTGCCATGCTTCCTGTGAGGCTCACCTGAAAGCAGCGTGGGCATCTGCTGTGTTGTAAGGTGCACCAGCATTAACGTGTTGGATGAAATCAAGAGTATGCTTTTGCAGCAGGTCTCCCAATGTCCTCCTCTTCCCTGTTTATGGTGCTTTTTACTCAATACTGAGTGTACAAATCACATTCCTTTTGGATAAAACTACAGGTGATGGATAAAAGACATGACTTGGGGCACGAGCAGCGTGCTGCAAACACTAATGGGCAATCTGTCCCCAGGATCCCAGGGGAGCTGTGAAGTACACCTCTCCAAAAAGTGTATTGTGGATGGCAGGCACGGAGCTTCAGGTATTCTGCGCTCCAGGTGTATTACTATGGCAATGTGCTGTTGGTTAACGTAGACAGTCTTTGCCATGCTCCAAACAACACCTTTTTCTTTGTGGTTAGCAGAGTTGTCAGACATCTCCAGATATGTTGTTACAAGGGATTGCTGCTGCATAACCAGCTCAGCTAGAGTTCTATTTTGAAACATCTAAGCCATTTTCCTATTTTTGAGTATTGGGAACCTCAAGCTGGCATCTTACAACTGGTTCCCTCACACCCAGCCCCGCCTCTAAAGAAAGGCAAACTTTGGCCAAACCAGATGGTATATGAACAATATTTCTTTCTAAGAAACTCACAGTTTGAGAGAGACGACCTCAGATGACTTAATGCACTGCTTCCTCACTGCAAGTTCTCACACAAAATACAAATAGAGTCACAAAGCTCAAAATTAATATTGACAGTTTCCCCAGCATCACTATGAGATTTTGGTTGACTCCTAAGTATAGGGAGCAGTTTACATTAAAGCCATTTCACACCATGAGATTGAGTAGGTGAGCAATAAACAATGATTTCAAAGATGTTTTTACAACAATGTTTTATTCTATTAAATATGAAAGAGCGTACATACAGGTGTTATTCTGAGGACATAAATTACACAAAGATTACACGTTCTGTCAGAAAAGCACAATAATGAAACATCTTTACATTTCAAACTTTTCTTGTTAGCTTTTAACAAATGAGTCTATTTCTGTTGCAAACAAGTAACGAGTGCTATTGAACTTTTGCAAATTCCCACAAAAACATCATGCTTAGTAGGATACTTTAAATACTGTAAAGATGAAATCAGAATTAGATCTCTAAATAACAAGATGGAAGAGATTTACTACTTAATCAAGGTAAATGACACACTGAAATAGGAGCTGAGACAAAATTGGTCATTCATTAAAAAAAATCCACTTCAGACACTGCATTTGAGTTTGCTTTCTTTACTTGCAGGAATAGTCACTGTGTTCATATGCATGAGTAATGAGCAGAACGCCCTAAATATTTATAAACTTAACCATCAAATTTTAGACGTGCTGGTTTTCTAGTTCACTAATTTTTCCACTGAAAAAAACCCCACACCTATGAATGTATTTGCTTATGTTTCAAAAGGTTGAAATCCAGCTCTTCTCTAGAGGGCCGGTCAAGCCTAGGTATGATTTCCATGTCTTCCATGGCCGCCTGCACAGGGGGCTCCTGCATCCTACCTATTTATTTTGGGTCATCACTGAAGTACCAGACTGAGTTACCACTGATCTGTGAGAGCAGTATTGGTCAGTGGAAGTCCTTACACATTGTGTTTTTAAACTTCAGGTAAACAGGAATGTGATTTTATCATAATGAAAACTCTCCGTTTGACATTCAGAAGACTACTCAGCTAAAACACATAGTAAGCCTGTAGTTTGGGTTGTGTTGCTAGAGATTAACTGAGGTGTTTTAATATATTAATACAAACACTAACAGGGTGACACAGACAAGCTAATGTTACTGCAGGCTGTAGTTTAATTTTCAACAGAAGTAACAGAACATGGTTTCTAAGAATGGTAATTTTTTTAACTAAGGACTCCACATTTATTTTTAAAACCACAGAAGTGGGGTAATATTCCTGATTCTTTCAAAACAGTCTGCAAAAACACAGCTTGAGCCTGCAAACGCTAGAATATATAAGCAGTCCCATGACCTCCAAGGTAAACATTCTCATACGGCAAAGAGCTGCAGGAAATCTCTTTTTCAGAGAATGCTCAATGAAAGTGCAATATAGTGAAGCAAATAATCTAATGATTATGCTTAATTATTAGATGAAAAAAATTCAGATATTTTATAATTGTGCCTTTTGTAGGGTGGGCATTCTGGTTTGAGAAAAGTCAGAGCACGTCGGAGGAGACAGGCAGGGTACACCCACACACTTCCCTTCCCAGGGCGCTAACACCCCAAAGCAGTTCTGTTGTGTGATCTCATCTACACCTAAAACGTTGTGCTGCCCAGTTTCACCCTGTTATTTCTGTTCTGACGAAAGTTCGCTTTTTTTGCGTTTAATTTCCACCTCGGCATGTTCTCCCTTTCAGCTCCTAGGCACCCCTCCTTTCCCCACCCCGACTCCTCTACCTGAGATGTCAGAAGTATGTACATTAAGCTTTGGAACCTGAGAATTTGGAGGTATTTTTTGATACTACAGGGCTGCACTTGTATCGTACCACGTTATCTCCTGCTATGCTATGGCAGACAGTTACAAGATAAATCTTGTACATCAGTCGATACCTGATGCCTTTCCTATATGAATAAAAAACAACACACCATTCAGCCACTAATATCTGACACTTGCTGTAAGAGTGACCTTCACCTTCCTCAAGTCCTCTTTTCCAAACAAATGTTGAGGGATCATTTCCAAAAACCCAACTATGAAATATTCCTTGGAGTAAAGAGTTTCACAGTAAAATAAAGAAAAATATATCCAGAAAATAGCGCACTCTCTCAAAATCAAAACTTATATACACCAAGAAGTTGAGATTTTTCCTCATTCTTTTATCAGTTCTACATTATTTGTAGAGAAATGATATTATCACTAAGAGTTAGGAGTAGGAAAAACAAGTCTAGTGAAGTAAGTGTCTTGTCTTTTTCAATACTCTTGAGAGATCAAGGAAATTCAGCATTCAACGTCATTATTGTAATTATTTTTAATTAAGGTAGCAAAAGACTGTTTAAGCTTAATTCCCTATGGTTTTGAGTATCCAAGACTTAGACCCTTCAATGCACTCTAAACAAGCCATGCTGCTGCACTTACAGTCACTTCTGGGTACCAGTTAAGTTTTCCACGGATGGGATTCAACCATGGACTTAGTATCCTTTTTGTTTTATTATTTGTTTTATAATTCTTAATAGATTAATCTATTTTAATATTTATCACAAATTTGGTGCTATTATTTAGCAAGACTGAGCTATATATATATATATATAAACATACATATATATAAGAATTCATGAGCTAGTTTA